CCTGTTGCCTGAAAAGCATAGACAAATTGTATTAAGTGATTAATTGCAGGAATTGTGTGTCATATTCAAGATAAACAAAAAGTCTCTAGAACTACAGTAAGAGTTTTGTATTACATCTGTGCAAAACCTGTAAAACATTGTGCTTCGTGCTTTATATCCTTCCCTACAGTTGCCCATGATTGCCACAAAAATATCCTGTAGTCTGCAGGCTAGAAAGCCACAAGGGAGAGATTTTATGTTGAGAGGCACTTCATGTGTGTGCCATTCACCAATACTCTCTGAACAGAAAGGGAATTGTTGGAACAAACAACTTTTAAACAAATGCAAAATATCTTTGATTTGGTAATAGTGATTTTGTTCTTGTATTTGCCAGTTATTTTTGGTTTTATCTAAATGGTTGAGTTGATCAAGAAAGAAATGTGTTTGGTGGTGGTGGTCATTTGCTTAGTTTCTTAGAACAAATAATATAGCAAAAAAAGGTCATAATTAAGATTAATTAGTTTTGAGTTTCAGTTTTATAGCTTTAGAGGGAGAGATAGGAAGACATTTTGGGCATATGCCAGAGCATATATATTTCATGTATGGAGCAGTGGCATATATGGAGCTAGTGCCTTCTTATAGGATGCCACTGTGGTGTGCAGGAATTCTGTTCAGACTAGCACTTTTGATCCTATTTAGACAGTCCATACAGATGTTTCAAAAAATAGTTCCAAATTATTTTGATTTTTTTTTAATGCATATTTGAAAATACTGTGCAGCTTTCTAGTGGTTCATCAGGTTCAGATAGCCTTTATGCAGATAGGTATTAGAATTAGAAAGCCTATTACTTCAGTGCTAGTACCCATTTTTGGTTTCTTTTTTCTGTCTTTGATTATTTTCTTGATGGTTACTTCCCTTCTGTGGTTGAATGTCATCATCATTGGATTTCCATTCAATATGTTCCATTATTCCACTGTCCCTTCTGTCTTATATATTAATTCTCTGTACAAGTGGACTTGTGGCTGTATGACTTGCACAAGAGCAAGACCTCTCTGGAGAGTATTGTAAGTTGTAATGGATGAGTATGATCTGGTAGTATCTCTGCACTAGCAGGTAGTATTCATTGTGATGGGTTTCCATGCTGGTGATGTGTGTGTGGTTCCTTCACTGGAGGTTTCAGGACAGGACGAGTGTGTCATCTGTGGTAGGTTTTACACCTGAACCACTAGAAGAATATTCCAGCAGAACAGAGTCTGGTGATTTACATAGGGAGTAGTTTTAATACCTTTTCTTGTTCCTTCATCCCTCTGTCTTTACATCTTTCAGAAAGTGGTTTTCTTTCTTGTTGACTTTCTTGCACCAGAAAGGAGAAGCATTCTCCTGAACTCCACAGTCCCCAGTTCTTTCAACTGTCTTTGAGGACTGATGTGCTGGAAAAGTACAGTTGTTAAAGCCTCCGCAGGCTGTCGGTGCTGCAGCTCTGAGGATGGAACTGCACACGTACCGATCCATTGCTGCAGAAAACACATCCAGGTGCTTGTGCAAGGTTCTAGGTATTAGAGGAGATGCTCTGATTGGAAAGCTACTGCCTTACTGAGCGTCCTTCCGTCCGTCCTTCCGTCCGTCCTTCCGTCCGTCCTTCCGTCCGTCCTTCCGTCCGCTAGTTGACAACATCCATTTTACACTGCGGGGATGCTGAAGTTTAGGATCCCGGTCACATGCGTATCCATGACTTAATGAGGAGCAGTAAATGTCTACTGCATTATTTTTGTATTTTTTAAATTGGGAAATATTATACATTGATTTGTTACTCTCAGAAGAGTGTTTTCTGGAAGCATTTCAGTCATTCATCTCTCAAGGAAGCAACGTTTTATCTTTTTAACAACATTGCTGGAGGAAATCCTTCATTGAAACTGGTTCTGCCAGGTTTATAACAGAATGAAGACACCACTTCAATTCTCTGACAACTTTGCATAGACTAGGGAGAGAATTAATGTGATTAGCAATTGCTTACAGAAGAAATGTAAAAGATCTGTAGTTCTTGAAGTGATTCTGGCTTTGCATTGGTTGCTTGTAGAATTTTTTTAATTTTATGATAAACTGTAGCTATCTTTGCAAATCTGTTCGCTCTTTTGTGCCTTTCTCTATCCTACCATCTCCCTGCCAAAAATAAATCCCCCAAAATCCAGTAGAAAATACCTCAGCAATGACCAAGTATGGTCTGAGGGAGGCGTGCTGTAGAAGGTGGTATCCATGACCTGTTAGCACAGTTTTCAGTGCAATGCACAATAGTGCTCCTCAGTGAGTTAATCTCTTTTAAAAAATGTAGCCACTCAGCTCATAGGAAGAAATATTAAGCTTTGGTTCAAAACCAAGTCCCTGTTTCTGGCAAAAAGCAGAGTGTGTAAATGCAGGAAGATGCATTTAAGCATTCAGACTGCTGTGGGAATTTAACTGGGGACAAGGAATAAGCATTGAAGCCAGTAATAATTTATGTATTTGGAAGATAGAAATTAGGGGTAATAAATTTAAATAATGGTTAGAGGGTGGCGCCCCCCCCCCCCAATTATAGAAGAATTATTTATTTTTTAAACCATTACAGTTTCAGTACAGAGGTATAAATACTCCCTTTTAATAGCAGAGTGAAACTGAGGCTCCAGTGTGCCACTTTTGTGAGCCTGCAGTCACTCAGCTCCTAGCCTGTGCTTACATGTGTGTAAGCTCTTTGTGTCTTTTCTTGTCTTTTGTTTTATGGACAGAAGATGTGCTTTCTCAGGACAAGAAGGCTTGGTTCTGCAGTGCCCTGATGTGTCCAGATGTCACTAGTCAGGAGTGCTCAATTCCTGGCAGATCTAGAAGTGGTTTATGAGTGAATCTGGATAAATAGTTTTCTATCCTGGGCTATATTCAGTAACTGGAGAAAATCTTGGTTTTAGCTCTTCTGTCTCAACACAGACTTTTTTAACTATATCCTGACAAAAATGATGAAGTTTCAAATGTTAAGGTTGGTGAAGGAATGAATGAAATCTTACAAGGAACTGCAAATTAAGAGTTTTCTGGAGAATGCCATATGTACACCTGATCAGTAAGTTTTGTATAAGATTTGGGGATAGCAGGCAGTTCCAGGCTTGTTATTCAATTAGAGTATAAGATCACTGAAATTCCCTTTGACAGCTGAGAACTCAAATTTGCTTTTCACTGAAATGTTTAGTTGTTATCCCTCAAAAATGTCAGTATTAGCCATAATGTCCTTAAACATTTTTTTCTATGAATTAAAAGAGCTAAAGCATGTGGCATTCTCTCCTCCTTTCAAAATGAATACTTTGCAGAGTAGATTTGTTTTTTTAAGGAATCCTTTGCATAACTGCAGTGATAGTGATACATTGTCTGCTAGCTCATGAGCTTATTTTCTAGAGAAAGCATCATTGTTCTTACAAGATACGACTCAAGTTTTTTTCCTCTTTTGGACCTTTGGAGGATGCATGTATTGCTTATTGAAGGCCTGTACTGGAGCTCTCTGTGTGCTTACAATGGTGATTTGTATGGATATGTGATGCGTTATTCAACTGTAATGACTATGAAGAAGCAGGGCAATGTGGTGGAGACTTAGTAAAACAGGACCTCTTCTCTTTTAACACCATCTATATTGCACAGACCTTTGCAGGGGGAGGGTGTGAGTACAGGTTTCTCTTGAAAATTCACATGAATATTTTACATGCACAATTTTAATTTGGCTGTTTGCGTCTACAAACCTAATTCAGGGAGTTAGATTTGATCAGCAAGTAAAAGTTAAGGCAAGACACCTTTCGGTAGCTGCTAATATATCTGAATTACTCAGTTCCAGACTGAATGAATGAAAAAGTGCTATATAGGTGACTGTTAAATCCTAGCACTTGTGGATTTATATTCCCTGTTTTAAACAATGCAGCTTATTGACCCTTTAATAGGAAAAAAAAAAAATCACTTACCCTGAGTACACATTTTGTCTGTTATACGTGTCCTAAATAGATTCCAGAATGAAATGACTAAATTAGAAACCTTTTGGCATGTATCCTACTAATGGAATTATATATTTATTCTGTTCTAGTCTATTTCATATTCTTTGATTTCCAAATAAAATCCATGAAGACTGTAACTTTAAATCTTGTTTACTGAGAACATGAGGGAGCTCAGTCCATTGACATGGAAGAAAGTTCAGAGTTGAGAATGAATGGGACTATATTTCTGCTTTAAATAAAAGATAAATGGGGTAAGAGAATACCAGTTAAAGCAGTCTTAATTTCCATGCAGCTTTATTCTGCAATTCAGAAAGGGTTTGTTGATGCTATTCAGAAGATAGTCCTGCTCTTTAATTGCAGCAACCATTTTTTCTTAACCATCATTACCAAGACCTGTACAGCTTCTTCATTTATTCATGTGTTGTCTATTTTTAAATAGTTCAAGGATTAGGTCTTGTTACTAGCAAAGATATTTCAATCCATCGCAACAAATACTTGTACATCTGTGCCTGACCTGGGACATCTAAATCGCCTTGAGAAGAATGTATCTTTGGAGAACCTCGTTTGTTTCCATCTTGTCAATTTTCTCTTTTTTATTTTTGTTTCTTTTTTCCCTCTTTTGGCTATTAGCATGATTTAGATATGTTGCTTAAATGGATAGAACTGATAAAAGAGGTTTTTTCCATGTTTGAGGTGAAAAAAAAATTTGTTCCCTCTGCAACTGTTTTACCATAATGTGTCATGATAGCTTGTACTCTTGGGCAACAAGTAAATGAATTTATTTTCCCATTGTAATGTTCATATGCTTCGTGTTGAGTTATTAAGGAATGTCACATGACTTAAACTTTTAGCGTTTGTTGCATGAATATTTCCTATTTTGATTACAAAATGTATTTCAGATTCCATGTCTTCAGTCATGTGAAATGTTAATAATGTTTTAAGATGTCCTTTGTTATTGCTAAATCTTTTTTTCAAAGTTAACCTGAATATCAGAAGTAGCTAAGACCATTCTGTTTTCTGCAGTACTTTGGAAGCTTGCTTGTAATATTCTGCGTTGAACTGGCCTGTGGTGTTTGGACCTATGAGCAGGAAATAACGGTGAGTCAGAAAAGGAGGCTGCATTTTTTCAACAGAAGAAAACAAAGATTTCCATTAGCTAGCTGTTCTCTAATTGCTGTAGTGTTTATCTTTGTTCATCATTCCTACAGTCTAATTTCCAGTGACTGTGTTTTTTGTTTTTGTTTTTGTTTTTTAAACAGAGAATTTCCAGTTTGTCTGGAAGGTCCTATCTGGGTTTTTCCCCACTCCCTCTGTATTTAAGAGCCAAATCCTGCAGCCCCTGATTCAAGGACTTTTTGTTAGTTCTTGCTTAGGCAGATTCTCATTGAATGAAATCCATGGAACTTCTGGGGATGAAGTGTGAACTTCAGGCTTAAGATAAGTATTTTGAGAGAGGAGATGTGAGAATTTAAAGGGATTTTGCCCCCAAAGTTCTTCATGTTTTAAAGAGCTATAGCTGAGTGTGCTGTGTTGTACACAAACAGTGTGTTCTTTCAATAGAGGACTTGCTGTCTGATGAAATCTTCACACTCCTCCACAAGCTATAAATGCCAGTTTTAAGCAAAACATCTTAGCTATAAAACATTCTTCTCTAAATTTGTGAAGAGATTAGTTTTTATAACTGTACCAACCTTTAATTTTCAAACTGAAGACTTATAACTATTATGCAAGAAAATGGGTAAGTGTTAAGCAGAAATTAAGCAGCAGTGTTATTCTGCTGGCTACCTGTAGCCTTACATCTTGTAATCAGTCTGATACATTTTTATGAATAGAGGGACAAATATTTTCTCTGAGCTGCTAAGATATGACCAACATACTGGTCTTTCCAGCAGTGAGTAGCAATTACATTGCAGTAGGATGGGAGGGAGCCTTCTTGATATTTACACTGTACTGGGACCAAAGGATTTTCTGACAGATTTGAAGTCTGAAGTTACATGGCAGCACTTTGCATCAGCATTCATTCTCTTGTGGTACAGATCCCGTCAGGGTGTTCTAAGATAACAGTGATTAAGGCTATACCGTTTCTTTAAATGTCAGCTTACATTGATGCATTTTAAAATTGGGAATGCAGACAAGAGGCATGCTTCATCCTGTGGGCCCTCAGTGGGGGTTTTTGCCAAGTATGACAGTTATAACTAACATCCATCTTTTCACATAAAACTTGTCAGTGGAAACTTAAATAACATAGCCTTCAAAGCGCTGGTATATGTGTTCTTCAGCCTTCAGTGTTCAGTTAGAGAACCTGAAGTTATGGTGTGTTTTAGTGTGATCCTCAAGATTTCAGTTACCTAGTATGCTGCTGAAACCCAAACCTGGGACAGTTTTGTTTGATAAAAACTGGCATAGCCTTGTCATATGTTAAGGCACTGGTGATGCTGCTTCCTTCCAGACTAAAACACACCTGTCCCTGCACACCTTTGCCGAAAGAAGCAATGCTGAGCTCCATGTCTGCACCTTCTACAGTGGGTCACAGCAAAGCTAGATACTCCACACTCCTCTGGTTCTTCCTGTTTCTCTCAGGAGTTAAGAGTGTATGAACATGAGCATGCAAATAGAACAGAAAAAAACCCAACTCTTCAGCAACTGCTTTTCTGGTTTTGCCTCTTTTCTTTTCTCCCTTTATATATTTTTTTATTTCTTCCCCCCTGAAATACTGGGACTTCTTGTTTTCTCTTTCCATCTGAATTTCTCCTCTTAATTCCCTTTGTTTTAACGCTGCTGCTCTTAGTGTGATAGGGTGGGCCAAACTCGGGTTTTATGCAGCTGAGACGTTTAGGGAATGTTGCAGTCTGGAAGAGCACAGATATTTTTCAGTGGTTCTTTGATACCTGTAGAAGTCACTTTCCTAGAGCATGCTTTCTACAGTTCTACTTGATAAAGATAAGAAGACTCTGTCTTATAGCCATGATGTTATGTTGGTTTCTGTGTAGCATGAACTCACACGAGCCCCTGGTGGGTTTCAGGGAATTGGTTGGCATTAGTGTAGGTGGGTTGTGGGTGATTTTGTAAAAAATGTCACTGAGGCATAACCACCTCTGCTGATTCAATATGGGCTCTCCTTGGCGTGTGGACAAGTTTCTGTCAGAGCCCTTGTATAAACAGTTTTCCTTCCAGCTCATGATAGCTCTGTGTGGAGTGTGCCTCATGACTAATCTATTCCACCTGCAAGATTGAAAAGCCAGTGTGGATTCTTGGCTTACTTTAACATTGGTCAAGCCTTGATACTCATTAGAAAAATAAAAATGAGTAAGCAGATCTCAATGGCAAACTGAGCTTTACAGAAATTATGCTAAAATCAAACCATCATCTCTAGCTTTTGTTTGTCTACACACTATGGAAAAGTGTTGGTGTATTGTCAAATGATGCAACTCAAGATCATGTATTATTGTGCACTACTGTGCATGAGATGACGGGAAGCTATTAAATAGATATATATATTGACGTCCTTAAGTGTGACATGTTGCCATTCTCTGAGCAGTCATGCATACAGATTCCGATATCCCTCCATAGTTCCAGGATTCAAATTGCCTTCTTTCAGTGGGGTTTAGTTTGTTTTGACTTGCTTTTAATTTCCTTTTACTTCTTGATTTTTTTTTTTTCCCCCTGCTTGCCATTGTTTTCATAAAGAAGTTGGACGCCTTGTGTTACGTGTGTAACCTTGGACTGTATTCAACTCAAATAAGATTTTAAAAAAAGTCTAGCAAATATGAGCTTAATTGCAGTGATATCAAATATTATCCAAAGAAAGCAGAATGCTAACTTCCAATGCAGTGGAAAGAGAAATGCATTGAGTACAAAACCAAATTACTTTATTATAGTGACCAGTGTAATTGTGATAGAAATATTATGTGATACTGGTTTTAAGTGATTTTAGTAATCTACTGCTAACATAAAAAAATATGTGGACTATTTTGAGTTCAATGCTTTATAGCTTAAGAAATAAAAATTCTGCTAACTGAAATGTGCATGAAATTTCTGGGATATTATTAATATATTCATATTCATGATATTTGAGCTTTACCAGAGTGTCAAAATTGTAGTATAATTTAGCAGCAGTAATGAAACATTATCAAATGTTCTTAATTGTATTATGGGGTCAGTCAGGCAGAGATTGTCCGTATATTTCTGTAGAGCATCTAGCATAACAAAGACCAGGCTCCTTGGGAAGTATCTTGATAATATTTTTCTTAGATAACATTTATTGCCATTGGCAGAGTGCTCTTAGTGTTCACTCCAAATTGAATAGGATAGCTAAGTCACAGCATCTAGAGGAGAAGGGCTCCCCCACCCTCCAAATGAAAGCTGATACTGCAATTGTGATTTCTGTCACTGTGACTATTAAAGCTATTGGGAACAAGGCAAAACTCAGCATGAATGGTATATGTGCCTAGAAGGGCAACTGCAAAGTCTTCAGTTCCTTATTTTAGTTTGGCATGCTGAATTTTGTAATGCTGAATGGAAGTTAGTTTTCTATCTTAACTCTTAACTGTATTGTATGCCAGGTGCCACAGCACTTGCTTCTATTGGTTTTAAGGAATTACTAATGGAGAGTCATAGTCTGACAGTATAGAGCACTGACACCTCACTTCTGAGTAGTCAAATTTACTTTGAGAATCCTCCTTTCAGAAGAAAAGATTACAAGGCCGTGTGTGTGTGTGTATATGTGAATAAAAAAAGTTCATAGGGCCTCATTGTCTATGCTTCCTTGTTACTGTTCTTGAGCAAGATACTGAAATCTAGTACATTCAGGATACCTGTGTGCAGGACTCAAGACAAAGCCAGAAAGCCACTGAAAAGACTCTCAGGGTACAATTAGTTAATTTTATATATTTAGAAGTTAGATGTTTAAATCTAAGTTTGTCACTTTAGACAGTGAAGTGGATTTGAGACTTCAAGGGAATGATTAATCTGCTCTGTTTGAAATATTTATCTTGAGATGAGTTGTACCATATGGCTGCCTGTTTCCTTCAGTTGAATAGGATGACACCAGGGAGACACCTTAACTGGGGCAGACAGATGCCATCCATGATGGCTTGGATGGGCTTTGGTTCAAGTTTTATAGCAGGTAAAAAAAAATCTGGTAATGATGTAATCAAATTGTGCCCAACTATCCCTGCATCTCTCCAAAATACAGTTCCTTTCCCAGTGTACATTCATTTGTAGCAAATGATACAAATAACTTTTTTTTGGTATTTTAATACAGGCTTGTAAAGCTTTAGTATCATAAAATTTGAAACACTTGTTTTCCTGGTTTATTTGCATACAAAGTTATTTTGGTCATTGCACTGGAAAGATCTCAGAATAGATGGAAGTTCTAGGTTTGGAGCCACAAGCCAACTGATGTGTTGTGTGAATCACTTTTCTTTCATTCTCCAGGTTCCAGTGCAGTGGTCTGATATGATCACACTGAAAGCCAGAATGACCAATTATGGCCTACCGAGGTACCAGTGGTTGACTCATGCTTGGAATTTCTTCCAGAGGGAGGTAAGAAGACAGTTAATTCATGTGCTGAAGTAATACATGTTATTTATCTCCTAAAGAAAAAGTTTTCGTTTTAAGTGAATAGGTAAATAAATGCAAGTTCATTTATGTGAAACCCTGTGTAGTGGTGATATCTTTTAACATCACATGGTACCCACCTTTTGAGCTTTTGTAGGCCCTAGACACTAAAACACAAAAAAAAAGAATGTTACTAAAATAAGTTAAATTGCTACACGGTCTTCTTTGCCAGTAAGGTTAGGACACCAATACCTTTTAGGGTTATTATAACACTTCATAATGTGATATATATATATATAGATAGATATATATATATATATATATATAAATATAAAAATTAAAAATCTGCAGGTAAAGTAAAATGAACATTTCTATATGCTGTTTTAAAATTTAAACTCTGCTCCCTTTCCTGTATGCTCTGTTAATTTCCTTTCATGGAGCTGTCATGGTTAACATATGTGTTTAGCTGGAAATGAGTAGGAAAGGATTTCCAGAAAGATGCCAAGACTATCTCTTTGGCTGAGGTTTGAGAAAGTGATCAGGGATTTTATTTCCTTTTGACTGAGGTGGCAGGAAACAAAACCTAAAAGCTTCCTTGTGTATTCACAGTTTTGCCCTCTAGCCTACTAAAATTCACAAATGTTTTTAAAGAATGAAGTATTATGTTATGAAAACATGAAATTGCCAAAGGTAAAACCCATTAACTCCAAATATAACTCACGTGCAGGAAGAGAACTCTTTAAGTGCCTGTCATTGTGCTGACCTTGTTGAAACATTTAAATCTCTCATTGTTGCACAGATTTCCTGTTTATTTAAACATTTCCTGGCAGCAATTGGTCAGTCTGTATTTATAATAAACCCTGAAAGAAACAGTGAGGACTGCATGAGGCTAAACATTCCCCCACCCTCCCCAGTTCCCTGCCCTGGCTATGCAAGTGCTCTGTGAAACAGTAATTCTACATACACAGGTAGAGTGTTTGCATTTGTTCTGTACCTGAGATAATCAAATGGTCTCTCTTTCCTTGAACAGAACTGATACTGTATCTTGGTTTAGACATACAGGTTAATTAAATTAAAAGCTGCCTCTTATCCTCCTGGTTGTTGCAGTGTCATCATAATGGCTGGTTTTAATATGAATATTATTTAAAAAGGTTCAACTATGCCTTAACTCTTCCAGGGAAGAAGTAGTTCCTTTCCCAAGTTAGATTTCTAAATTCCTTCTTTAACCAGAGGAAATATTTGGGGAAAGTTTGCAGGACTTTTATTTTATTCCATCTACTCATGACTCAGGTGGTGGATGCATGAGCCTGGTATGTGCTTTATGCCTGAATGAACACTATGTTTGGGGCCCTTCTTCAATCAGCATTACATGTTTTTTTTCCTAGAGAAAAAATATGTAATTACAGTTTTGTTTCCAGAGAATCAGTCCTGATTACCTTTGTGCTCGCTCTTCTCTATCTTTTAACTTCGAAGAGAAATGTATTTTTCCCCACTAATACCAGAGTTGTGACTATGCTAAGGAAGATGGTGTGGGTCAGTTGGGGTTAGGAAAGAAGTGAGCAGGGGAAAGAAAATGTTTGAGAGTAAGAAAAGGATGTTTAATGAGGTGATCTTTGCAGTTACAATGAGCCAAGGTCTGAGCTTCCCTTAGGAAGTCATGCGTTGCGTGGATTTTGGCTAATGAACTGATAAAAACAGACATTAACGCTGTGGTGAAAAAGGAATAGGTGAGATTTGTAAGAAGCCTGGTGAAGTCAAGGCACAGTGTGTGCCAATATGGGGTCTGGGTGCTGATCTTGATTGTGTCTGAGGAGTGGTGTGATATACAGGACTCTGGCTCTGAAGTGGGTCAGCGGAGGCAAATGTTCCCAAACCCATGGGTCAAAGGAACCAGGTGATGACTTACAAACACTCAGACTGGTACTGATGAACATCCAGACAGAAAAAAAGCAACATATTGTTCCTGCATCAACCCTTTTTTTTGTTAATACCAAGTCCCCATCCAATGTTGAAGAAAATCTAATGTAGCTGCTTCAGCCCTTTTTTATGTGAAAGCAGCTAGGAATGTGGTAGCTGGTCATTTGGCTTTAAATCTCTTGGTGTGCTTTGCAGAGGAGAAGACAGGCTGTTAGTCCTGGTGATTTTTATAGCCAATTATGGCTCATCTGCTTTGCAGCCAGACTTCCTACTTTTATGGCTAGTTCTGTTGCAGTGTTTATTTTACTGTGATACTTCTTCCTTACATTTTCATTTTTCCTTTCAGCATTTGTAATTTCTATACTTTTTTGCTCACTTTTAAATTTTTTTTTCTTCTGTATTCAGATAAAGCTATGCTTTATCTCATATGGTTTTTCAACAGATGTGTCCATAGTTGTAGCCTTACAGGAACAGTCCTCACTAGTAAGACCTTAATCATCTTTTCCTACAACTGTCTTCAGCTACACATATACTTGTTCATTAGTCACCCTTTTGACATGAAATTATCATGCGTTAGTTCCTTGTAGTAAGGATAGCAGAATTACAGGGTAGGACAATTTCTGTGAAGCATCCTTTGAGGGAGCAGTTGAAATGTAAAGGACAGAGGCATATCATCAGCTGTTTCTGAGATTGCTCACTACACTACATTTTTCACATTGCTTTTATGTCAAAGTACAGCAAAAGAAAATATGTGGAAGCTCTTATGGATGATTTTAATCCTACTTAAATATTTTGAAAGTTGGTAATAGGAATTTATTTAGGTTTTTTATTGACCTACTTTTATGAAGAAGTAGCATCAATATTGCTGATCTTGGCTAATCCTTCCTTTACAGTTTAAATGTTGTGGGGTGGTGTACTTCACAGACTGGCTGGAAATGACAGAGATGGACTGGCCACCTGACTCCTGTTGTGTCAGAGAGTTCCCAGGATGCTCTAAGCAGGCACATCATGAGGATCTCAGTGACCTTTATCAGGAGGTAAGAGGAAAAATGTGGGTATTTCAGAAAGCTTTGTACATTCTTCCTGATCCAGTCGTTTTGCAAACTCATCGCGTGCAGTGCAGCAGAAAGGTTTGTAGAGTAATTGTGTTTGTGGAAAGTGTTTCTTATGTTTATTTAGGTTTATTATTAATGCTGAAGCCAGGGAGAGGGAGGGAGGAAGGAAAAAAAAAAAAAAGAAAAAAAGTACCCACCCACCCTTACCTGGAAGTGAGATAAGTTAGTAGCAATGCAGTTAACATCAGAGATGTGCTTAAACATTGAGGTATTTGGTTTATTTTGGTTAGGTTGGACTTGAAATTTGCTCCAGTCAGAAAATCAAAACTTAGTTTTGGTGTAACGTCCAGTCCTTGACTTGTCAAACTAAGAGAAATTCTACTTACCCTGTGCTAACGAGGACTTTAGTGGTATGTACAGTGAAGGATGCTTTTGAGAAGTTCTTTGGAAGATGAGAGCTCTCTTGTTAGCAAGGCTCATGCAGGGAGGCAGGTAATTCAGTTGCTCTACTGTGATCATGCATAGAAACTTTGTTTAAAAGTGCTTGTTACAGTATGATGATTATTTTAAAAGAATTAAAAAAAAAAAAAAGCCTTAAAACCAGGAGAGGACAGGACCTATTTGAACTCAAAGTGCATAAGGAAAGCAATCATGGTATCAAGTCATTACTGTTCTTAGGGTGAAAATTATAAAACCAGTTATGTTCTCTATTAGAAGTCTTTCCACTATTCTTGTAAAAATGTTGTCTAAAGTCACCTTTGTCTGGAGATTGCTTTGCAACCTAACTTTTTTTTTTTTTTTTTAATGCTAACAAACCTCTGAAGACCTTTAATTGTGCATTCAGTAATACCAGAATGACCAACAGTCCAGGTAGTCCAGTAGTGACAAAAAGCATATCTGAAGTAGTTATGAGGATCTGAGAAGAGCTGCATTCTTCATTTGCCTGTTTTAACAGTGATATAGGGTGTATAGCAAGGAGGACAGGTCTGAGAAGCATGCTTTCAGATGCTGCAGTATGTCTTCAGTGGACAGCACAACTCTGCATTATGGAAGAGCACCCAAAGAACCATTTTGTCTCGTCCCAGTCTCTTAGCACTGTTCAAGACTCTTTTCCTTCAAGAATCTATTATGGGGCTCTTGTTCAGGAGCTAAGGAGAGATACCTCAAAAGCAGGGGAGGTTCACTATGTAAACAAGTCAAGATGAATATTAGTTGTTGCCAGGAAACAATCAAGTTTAGGGGAAATGGCTTCACTGATGGGGGGTTATTTGCTAGATATGTGTGGAATTGATTCTATGAGCAGAAATCATATAATCTGTTCTGGACTTTCAGACATCCATCCTAGGCCTCACGTGCTACCACTAGGAAGAGAGAGGGCAGAGCTGCCAAAAGGCAGGTTCCTCAGAAGGCCAGTCTGTGCTAGGGAACCTTAAAGACAGTGACAGAGGCTGTTTTCTTTCCACCAGCTACTTGTAAAGCCTCTCCTGCCTTATGGCAAGGCTTGCAGCACAGACAGCACTGCTTATGCTTTGGAAGTGTCAGTCTCTGAATGGGAAAGCCATTCAGGCTTCTCCTGGGGCCTGCCAGTCTCCTATGTGTTCTTGAAGAAAGGCGAAGTTGTTCCCTTTGCAATAATGGTTACTTTTTGTAATACTGCTGCCAGTGTTGATTCCATACAGAGCAACTGTCATAGAAAGCCTACAAGGAGTGTAAGTGTATGGAAGCTGCAGAACGCTTCATAGAATCACAGAATCATCTAGGCTGGAAAAGACCTTGAAGATCATCTCGTCCAACTATTAACTGAACATTGACAATTCCCAACTACACCATATCCCTCAGCGCTATGTTGACCCGACTCTTAAACACCTCCAGGGATGGGGCCTCCACCACCTCCCTGGGCAGCCCATTCCAACACACAACAACGTGTACTGTAAAGAAATGCTTCCTAATATCCAGTCTGAACCTTCCCTGGTGCAACTTAAGGCCATTCCCTCTTGTCCTATCGCTTGTTACTTGGTTAAAGAGACTCATCCCCAGGTCTCTGCACCCTCCTTTCAGGTAGCTGTAGAGGGCGATGAGGTCTCCCCTCAGCCTCCTCTTCTCCAGACTAAACACCCCCAGTTCCCTCAGCCGCTCCCCGTACGACCTGTGCTCCAGACCCTGCACCAGCTCCGTTGCCCTTCTCTGGACACGCTCGAGTCATTCAATGTCCTTTTTGTAGTGAGGGGCCCAAAACTGAACACAGGAATCGAGGTGCAGCCTCACCAGTGC